TTTAATAGAATTCTGTTCATAGCCTTAAACAGACAACAAATTCGTCTCACTCGGCATCTACCAATTGACTGTCATACCTGAAGGTTGCCTGGTATTGATGTTAATGGATGAAATTTAAATGTTTGTTGTTGAGACAGCTCAAATGATAAAGAATAAGAGAATATTTTAATAGAGTATATCATGATTTTGGTGCTTCAAACAAAAGCTAACAGTTATGCAATATCATAAAGTCTTGGACATCTACCTTAGCCCTTAGCAGGTAGGTGCAACTGAATGTAACCATTGTTAATGTTGACCTTATCACACATAAGTGTGTCCAACCACTATTGCTACAACTCTTCAGAAAATTATTCAGTTATATGTTCAAATTGTACTCTCTAAGCATTTCATATAAGGGGTTCTTCTAAAAATATTTAGAACCCGTTCTTAAAATGCACGAATCAAAAACAACCACTGCATACACAATCTCACTCAAATTCACACTTTGACTAAGTCAAAGTATTCAAAACTATACTCGCAAATGTTTTTTTAAATATGGCCAAAGGTAGTTTAATAAGAGGAGTTGTTAATCAAATTAAACCCCATCTAAAATAAAAAGGACCATGACTAAGGTAGAAAAGATTGATTTGGTGCTTAGGCTGAAAACATAGTGGAGCGACGAGGACAGCGGCGAGCAAACAGCGCGACATTGCGTCGAAATCAAACGCGTAATATCAAATGCAAGCCTACATAGTAACGAGACGAGATCGAGCGGCAAGATCGACTCAAAATATTTTGTTTTCGCCACTTTGTCGCTCTGCAATTTTAAAGATGGCTTATCAAAGACTGATCAATTTTGTGTTTGTGAGGCCCAGTTTATGGGATCAAAAAGACCAAAACCACCATAATCGGTAGATTTTGGATAAATTGTTGACTGAGGTGGCAAAAGAAAGAAATTGTACATGTAACTAGATTTTAAAAATAAGTTCGAAAATCTCAGTTAAGTAAATATGTTTGTTTTATAACTACTACATGATTAAAAATAAGCCTATCAGTGCTTTTGTTTTTATTTTAAAACAACATAAATAAACCTGTTAATTACATACCTTAATATCATAATTAAATCTTCTTCTGGTCCTATTGGAGTTAGATTAAAATTGGTCCAATTTTCTGTTGATTTACATCTGCCTAAATTTAATATATAATCGAATGTTCCAATTTTCATTCTTGTGTACTGATAAAATTTTTCAGGATGCTGTTGCAATTTTCCATATAGAGTATGGAATTCTCCTCTTTGTGGATACTACTGGAACTGCATTTTTGTAAAAAATGCCAATATCAAAGTTTAGATGTATCACTATCAAAAACTTGAGATGCCCTTAATAAAATTAGAAAATACTTTGATTATACTCTCATTAAACCTGCCTAGTCGTGTTTTACTATGTCACTTTACTATATATTCTCAATACGAAGCTAAAGCAGTGCGATGTTGCAGTGTTTGCTAGTCACTCCACTATGTATTCAGCCTTAGAATACCTTCAAGTGATATGCTTGAAAAAAAAATACAGATGTCATGCTGTTTTCTCGTCACTCCACTATGTTTTCAGCCTTAGAATACCTTCAATTGATATGCTTGAAAAAGAAGACAGAATGTTGTCATGTTAATCATCATGGAAACATTCTATAAAAGCTGTGAGCACAACTTTAAGCACTGCTGTTTTGGATCTTTAAATTACTGAAATAGTTTCAGTACTCCCAATAGAAATACTGGCCCCACTAGACAATAGCTAAATTTGCTATAATATGTAGATGCTCCAGACTGTAAAAATCAAAATGAAGTTTTGTAAGTGTTGTGTTCTAAAAATCAAATATATTGTGATATAAACTATTGAATTAAATAACTTGCTGGTAGACTGAAAAAACAATGCTAAGATGTATAAAAAAATAGTGAAGAATAAATAACACATTTCTTTTACTACACCCTATAATGTAATCATGTACATTCTTTAACCTGGTATTTGAAATTAGTAAGCAAGCTGACTTATTCTTACATTTCCATAATATGAATATAATTTGAAAAATGAACAATATAAGTGGAGCAGTATGGTAATAGAAGAATAGATACTTACAATGATGTAGTAGTTGCACCTATCTCCTCTACAACATTCTGAGCATTTCCAATCTTGATACCAAATGTGGGTACAAGTAGCCATATTATAGCTTCTATACTTTGCACACTTTTCTGAAGTAGAGCATCGTTTTGAAATATAGTACTGTTTCAATGCTCCCTGTTGCCAATAAGGAGTACTCCCCCAACTAATTTCTGATAAGCAAACATCCTCACCATATTTACAAGTTTCTATTGTTGTGACACATTTTCCTTCATTATTCTCCTGGTTGTCGCATACATAGCATTCTAGGGCTGTACCTGAAGAATCAACTACATGTTAAATTTGAAAATAGTGAGGGAGTGCAATTACTTCAGATTTTAACAGACCTCAATGCCTGTATTGTTATTTCTGGGTTTATAGTGTTTTAACTTATTGACAAGACTAATCTTAAAAAGGAAAGGTTCTGAACGTATACATTAATTTATGTATACTTACTAAAATTCAGTAGCGTAAATACTATGAGAGCAATAAGCAGAATATGTTGAACCATTTTATTGTAGCTGGCCTAGTAAATCAAAATGTGATTATAAGAGTAAACTAAAAAACGACACACCTACAGGTGAATAATGGTTTGTTTTCATCAAGATGTCTTGTGTTTTGTGAAGTGAAGATGAAACAAATCACAAAACACATGATAGGTTAAGCTTACGTCACTGTCAGGTAAATCATCCGTCAAACATTTACTGTGGATGACTATACAGGACAAACTACTCCAAGACTCGTTGTGCTGCCATTTTCTAGGTTAAAATAAAAAGTAGTGATGTAACGACGTTAGATATCGAAAACACTGAAAACACCAAATGAATGAGTCCCACAATTGGTTGTAGTATCTATGTGTTTTGATTGAATAAGTTATTTATTTTTAATATGTGCGGAAAGTAATACCAATTCCAATCAAAAATTTTTTATTTCATTTAGAAACTATAAACAGAAGAGAGATTTATATTCATCCACATTTCTAATGTGATGCAATGTAAAAATCTAATTAATCTAAAACTTGTGACCAGGATCAACCTGCAAATTTAATAAATAATAGTTTATAAAAACACGCTTTCATAGCTAACCGAATTAAAAAGTATAAAATAATTTTTAATTACAAAGAGTTTATATTACAGTCGTAGATATCAATCATAATTTATGACCTAAAAATAAAATTATAATAAAAATTGAGTTATTAACAGAATAATTCAATTCAGATTAAAAAGCGGTGCATTTTACTACATTTTCATAACTGCTTTCATAGATAGTTGCCAATAGAATTATTGTAACATTTAATATATCAAGCACCCCACGCTTTGTACTCTGAATTTAATTATTCTGGTAATTACTTAAAATTTATTATAATTTTATTTTGAGGTCATTAATTATGATTGATTGTTTGACCATCTACTATTGTAATATAAACTCTTTGTAATTAAAAATTATTTTATACTTTTTAGTGGGTGAGAATTTATGATTAGATATTGCTTTCATGATAATAATTCCTACTTTATAGATTGTACCACCAAAGCTATGTAGGAATCGTACTTGAAACAGAAGTAATCGGGTCACATACTCTCGGCACGGAGAGAGGTAACCGTGGAATAAGCTGATACAATTAAATCGCGTTCAGTCATTTTTCCACACGTCTGGTTAATTAAAGTTGCGGTCTTGTATTTTTAACTCATATTCGTTATTTGTATTTTAATCAATAAGACAAATTATTCTTTGATCGTATTAAATTCCTTCTTTATCGACTGTAAATTCAAAGCTTTGACGTTTAGCAAATTTTGTTCCATAAAATAAATAGATTGAAATTTATGTTCTGATCATTTTGTTGTGAATAAGAAGCCTTTTGTGAATCACGGTAATGATAGATAGATAGATAGATAGATACATTTATTGTCTTGTAGATCATAAAAAATGACATAAGACTCGTCCTAAGAGGGAGGTAGGTACATAGTACACATAATTAAAAATAAAAACGAAACAAACATAAGTATTTACAAAGTACAAACAGGGACAACTTAATGCGTACAGACATTCACATATAAAAAAAGTTTAAAAAAAAATATATCACAGTGCGAGGTATTCAGACAAAGAATAGAAACATTTTTCAACTAATAATTTGCGTAGTTTACATTTAAAACTAGGAATACTACTGACATTCCTGAGGTTAGCTGAAAGTTTGTTATATATTTTGATGCAGGTGTATTCCGGTACTTCACTATATTAGATAACTTCGTTAAATACTGTCATCTTTGTTTTACAAAACGTTGGTGGTAGTCCATCATTCGGAGGTAGCCCTGAATGCGGCCCTGTACGCCTTACTTGCTTTTGGCAATAACGCATCCATTCTATCTTGGGTGTAAATACACTGTATAAAAGAATTTATCAATTCTGACGGTCCTAATAAGGATAATAGAAAACCTCAACCGTCACTGCGTAGATTAATTGTATCAGGTGAAGAAAACTCAAGTCGTTCCACAATTCTGGCTTCATTTGTAAAATCGAAAATCGCCAGTATGCCACAGTTATAAACCTAAAAAAAAAAGTAGCATTGAAGTAACCGTTTATACGAGGGTCATTTTAATAACCTAAAACGCTCTAATAGTTCGATATAAATGGTTTGAATGTAGCGAATCTAAAAAATTGCACTATTTCGATACTGTCATAGCAACAAGTTCACATAATGTGACTGCGCTATGAAGACCTCATATTCTTCGGAAGAAAAGGATTAAGTTTTGTAGCACATTTTTAAATAAAGAAGTAAAGTGTGAAAGTGAAATGAAATATGTATTTAGGTGAATGATCTCGAAGTGCGTGTTTCTGGAAGAAGGCTCCTCAACATAGCAAATTAGGTAAGTAACTTTACATCTTTGACATCGCTACCATCATATACATATCTATATTTTGGTTAATAGTATGAAAACTAATGTCTAGATAAATAATTACAATAGCAGTCAACGTTACTCCAATAACTTGATGCAGTCATTTATCATCTCATCCAGACTTGCAAGAGAAAATGTTTGAACATTTCAGATACGTATCTGTCTCTGCCTCCGGTTCTCGGTTTATATAGTTATGACTATTGGCAAAAAATGTAAACGAATACAATATCGTTGTCGTCTACTATACAACGTTATTAAAATTATCATTTATTTAAAAAACACACAAGTGATGAGCACGCAAGGCACACCTAGTTTGGTGCACAGATATCCTGTTTCCCTCAGAAGAGTTGGAAGTAGACCTAATTTCCACTTTGGAGACACTTGATACCCACGTCACAGCACTGAGACACAATCGAGAACCCTATTGTGAACACCACTACTAAAAAAAGTAGCTAAACGGAATAGAGCTGTAAACGCGTGCACATTCCGCTGCGCCGACGGTTGCCGAGAGATTGAAGCGTGTGAGTGCTGTACCACGCTGCGGCGATACAGTACGGCCGGGTAGTACAGCCACGCCCCTTTCCAGCTCCCACTCCGCGCGTCTGCTACCGGTCAACGTAAACATCGAGTCGCTTCGGGAGCAGACGCGCGGAGTTGGAGCTGGAAATGGGCGTGACTGTACTACCCGGCCGTACCGCATCAGGGCCGTATGCTCCGCTGTTCGATTTTCGTCCGCCAGCGCGCATTACGTCACGGGGAGAGTGATTATCATTTGGGTTGATATAGATAACGTGCATATTTTCACCTACAGGCCAAACGGCTGGACGGATTTTCACATATGAGGTATCGTTGGATTTGCCTTAGCGGTGCGAGTCTAGTGCCACTCGCATTGAAATTTTATAAAAAAACAAAATGGTGGGTTTTAATAAAAGATTTCAACCTTGTAGTTCCTACTTCATAGGCTGCAGATCAAACGGCTTGATAGATTTTCACATATGAGGTGTCGTTGGATTCGTCTTAACAGTGCGAGTGACACTAGCTACATTAAAATTTTATACAAAACAATATGGTAGATTTTAATAAAAGATTTTAACCCTGTAATTCCTATTTCACAGGCTATAGCTTAAACGGCTTCTAGCTCTACAATAGAGCGTATCGTCTCTTCACTGTAAAAACAAGATGACTTCATTTTTCTACATTACCTATGTTTTAGTATGTTCTGTGGAGCAGGATTAACATGTTCATGTCATAATACTGTACTAGATTTATCCTTATTCCACAGAACATCCTAAGTACATGTAAGTGTGAAAATGCACGCAACACGAAAAATGGAGTTATCTTCTTTTTGCAGTAAGGTGGTGGTATAACAATAAATGGAAATTTTACGATTTTTCTGGTCTTTCAAACTTTCATTCAGTTCTTTGATCCGGAAGAACATCCTTGACCTGAAAAACAGTTTTTTAGGGCAGTCAATGTTGCTGCTCGTCAACAGAAGTTCACCTATAAAATTTTGTCACTATTCCGTTCCCATTGAATGTAGTGAATACCTTGTTCAGCTTCTCAATTTGATTCATGAAAGTTGCGCAAGGTTTTGATAATTCACCCTCACTAAGATGGTCAATTCATGAATAAGTTTCATTTGAGGAACTTTTCAACCTCTCATCCTGCAATTTATTGCAAACAAAGCCGGCCAAATTTTCCAGCCCGTCATACTATTTCTTCCACTAAAACTTGCTCGGTATAGTCAGCTGATACTCCAGGTGCATTCAGTTTATTCTCGTTAATGATGCGGTTAGTGGAATGTCTGGAGTATCCTCTGACTCTACGCTGCAATAGGTAGTCTGAGTATGCGCCTTTGTTTCGCCCCAACATATATAAACTTATTCTATACTTAAACTCTAGAGAACTTAATTGTATGGTCATGAAGACCATCTTTTCCTCACATCCTGATTAAGACGTCTTGTTAACAGGTATTGGACGCTGAAGCGTCGTTTCAGATCCTCTAGAGCATTTTCTAGCAAACCCTAGCGCTTTTTACATTGGCACTACATGATGGTGTTTTTAAATGTGCCCGAAGTGCACAACATTTAAAAAAGTACGACCCTGTATCTAATAGCATGTTTTTCTACGACTTCAAAGATGTAACACGTTACATTTCTTTCTTTTAAGTTATAAACAAACGAGTGTTTTTCTATTTTTTCATTTTATTTAAGTAGGCGTTGCAAACAAATGCTTGATGTAAGATTGTGTGATTACTGAATTTAACCTAGTCTGATCCTTATCTTGGCCACCCTGTAATACATTATTATAAAAAGAAATTCACAGAAACATGCACTAACCTAACGTTCTTGTAAGTATTCTCATGTAGTTACATTCATTTCTGAAAAATCTCTAAACTATTAGCAAAGCCTCGAACAAAATACTATTTTGAATCCAAGGAATTTGTGATAGTTTATAATTGACTGTATCGTGCTTTGACACTAAGCCCTTGACACTATGTTTACTAAATAGGGTGCAAAAAATCAAGCGTTGATTCTCTGGCGTTTTCAAACCTGGAATCTCAGCCCCGTGTTTAGGAAACTACAATGTTTTTCCTTGGTTGTTGGAGGATACGTGGGCACCAAATGTCCAAAAAGAGCAGGGATGTGATACGTCCAAAATGCGTCTGCCTGTAATTCCACATGATCGACGACGAGTTATAAGTTGGATTCAAGTTATCAAGCTGTACATTTTTAGCTCCCTCAAAATGATATGCCTAATATCTCTGCGTATAAGACGGATACTAATAAATAGTAGAGTGAAATGAAAATCGTACTTTCCTATTAATGATCATTTAATTTTAGATCAAATAGTTAAAAAATGTATTTATATAATAAAACATTGTTTTTTCCAATTGCTGGAAGAACTGGGCATTTAAAAAATGTTCAGAGATATTAACATTGCTACGCCTCAAACTTCTTTTTTTAACATTATATCAAAATCGTCCGATGAGCTGGCAACACCGCAATCCAGTTGGTAAGAATGAGGTTATCTTCCAAGACGGATGTCTATCCCGGGGTACTGTCAGCATCATTTAGAACGATAAAGCGTCAATTCTCAATTACATTTTTTTTAAGTGTTGTGCAACGATTTCCGCAAAAATTTCCCTACGGATAGTCTGTTAGAGTCTAGTAGAATACATTTCAACTGTTGTCTTGCGTGGCCATGTTATCTTTACTCGGAACCGAAAATAATAATAAAACAAAAGAACAATAGCAACCCAATATCCCGAACAATAAATCAATCATACTATCAGGTACTGTTGCGTCTTGTAGAACTTCGGATTTCACTGTTTTTTCACTTGATACTTATAGAGGGTAGTCTGACAAATTATTTTACATCATAAAAAATGTGGATGAAGCACGCTTTTCATGATTTTTTTTTTCCCAAAACACTGTATTTTTTTAGCAGTTATTCTATTCCTCCCATTATTTCCACCGTCATCTACCATATGACGCTAACGTCTGTGCAGTGTGCATATATCATGTATGAAAGGCGCTTGCCTGCGGTGTTGCCGGATTGGGCTCCGTATTTAGGGAAAAATATTAAAAGTGGAAAATTTACCTATATACATTTATATTAATGAAACACAAAAACAAAAAACTAAAACAAACAACAGTAGTACAATTAAAAGTGATTCTTACTAAGTATAAAACAAAAAATAACAAACAGCAGTAAAATAAAAAGCAATTCTAAGTGGTTATAAAAAACAAAAAAGTAAAACTGTAGTAAAACAATTCCATTTAATTATAAAAAACCAAAAAATAACAATGGAAAATTATTGCAAAGACTTAAAATTACTAGTAAACGATATGAGGGTAATTCCTGCCAAAGGCACAGTTTGTTCAAGCAATGATGTGTTAGATGAATCTACAAAACATATAGAGGATAATAATGATTTAACTCTCACATTTGGAGATATCTCAGCTATCCCAAATCCAAATGATACTACACTTATTAGAGAAAATGTAGATAAACTACATTCTACTGCTATACACCCAGATGAACTGACAGTTCAAAATGACGCTGACGTCTGTGCATATATCATGTATGAGAGGCGCTTGCCTGCGGTGTTGCCGGATTGGGCTCCGTATTTAGGGAAAAATATTAAAAGTGGAAAATTTACCTATATACATTTATATTAACGAAACACAAAAACAAAAAACTAAAACAAACAACAGTAGTAAAATTAAAAGTGATTCTTAATAAGTATAAAACAAAAAATAACAAACAGCAGTAAAATAAAAAGCAATTCTAAGTGATTATAAAAAACAAAAAATTAAAACAGTAGTAAAACAAAAAACAATTCCAATTAATTATAATAAAACAAATAATAACAAACAGTAAAATAAAAAGCAATTTGGATGGAATGAAATTGTACTTCGTTTTACTACTGTTTTTACTTTTTGTTCTGTGTTGTCACTTAGAATTGCTTTTTATTGAACATGCAATTGTTTTTTTTGTTAAACTACTTTTTATTTTACTGCTGTTTGTTATTTTTTGACTTTTTTAATTACATGGAATTAGTTTTTGTTTTACTACTGTTTTTAATTTTTTCTTTTATAATTATTTATAATTTATCATTTTTTAGCTTACTACTATTATTTTTTTAACTATACTTAGTAGGAACCACCTTTTTTGGGCTCACTGGTGACTTAACTTTTCCAGACAAGATCGAAGTCTCTTTAAGGCCTAGCTTCATTGTTTGAGATTGTACAAACAATACTTTGCTTTTGGAAAATACTGAAGAACTAAAATTAGACTGCGAAGACACTTAAAAGCCACTAATGTTACCGTTTCTGATTGGGTATCTCTAGATTTTTTAAAGTGTATTGTAAAATGTGATTTTACAGAATCTCTTCCAAATCTTATGATTGCACTAAAATTGTTCATGACAGTTTGCGTATCCGAAGCTTCATGTGAAAGGATTTCAGTAAACTAAAGTTAATAAAAAACTATTTGCGGGCAACAATCTTGGTATATTTGCCATTGAACATGAGGCAATACAAAATATAAATTTTGCTGAAGTTATTCCTGAGTTTGCAGCTATTAAAGCCAGAAAGAAGAGGTTTTAATTGTAAAGTTAAACATAGTTTTTGCTGTATTTTTTTATTGTGTTTTGATATTTGTTCAATATTTTAAATATGAATATTAAATGATCCATGATGTTTATAAATCATATAAGCTTTATTGCATTTGACTTTCAATGGAGTGACACCACCAACTTCCGTATCAGGTGCCACCCAAGGTAGCTACGCCACTGTACATACATAAATATGGGCCAAGCTAATAAATGCGTGTTAAAATAAAAACACTCAAAACTATATATTTACCTGGTCTGAAACACAATGAATTTTACATTGTATCAAACATTTTTTTCTCCAATATTGCTTTGCATTGGCAATTTTCTTCTTTCTACTCTTTAATTAACAATAGCTTTTAACTTTCTAATCCTCTCCTCACAGATTACACCAAAGTGCAAAATTGTTATGGCCAGCTCTGATCAGGGATGCTGTATTTTTAATTGTGAAATGTTGATAGAATGCAAAGTGACCAAAATCAATTATCCTTAGATATAAGTTTTTGCAGTAACACTTCTTCAAGACTATTTCGATTTGTAGGGGTTACTGTTATCAATTCAATGTCCTTGTCTTCTTTCAGCTGTGTTATTAAAAGGATATTACTTTTTTCTGGTACAGTTGCCATTACATTCAAATTTCTAGTTTTCATAACAGTTGTGACTGCAGTCTTGAACTTCTTACTAAACAATTCCATTTTTCCAATTTCATCAATAACTAATAGGCCATTAGAGGATGTGTCTCCAACAACTGGCAAAGCTAACTTTTCAAATTCGTTTATGTAGACCACATACTGTCCTACTCTTGGTAACCGTTCGTCGCTTGTTGAAGAACTTTTTCTAGCTAGTGGGGCTCTGTTTCCTGCCAAAGTTACTATATCAAAACCAATTCTAGAGTTATTTTGTCGGATTTCTTCAGTGTAAAATCCTTTGCAAGTAATTCCTTCAGATATCAGTTTTTCCGCAATCTTCTTGATAAGAGTTGTCTTGCCGACTCCTGGAGATCCAGTAATTAGGATTCTCTTCATAGTAAAAATGATCCAAAAAACGTTGAGAAAATGAACAACAATCGACAGGCTAAAGGAGGTTATGTGTATTATTTTCAATTTGGAAGTTGGCCTGTGACAAGCCCATGCCCAGAGGTGCGGAGCTACCCATCACCTGTCAATATGTTGCAGTGATCTAGATCTAGAGTAACAGGCACCTCACCTATTCATTTTTGAAATCGCAGCCCCCTCATTTACCAGCTTTTTATTAGGTGTTATACGCTGCGATAAAGTATATAGTGGAGAACAGTCATAGTCTGACAATTCTTCTGAAAAGAATGGCAAAATGAATTTACATTTCCATTGTTTGGCAGTGTGACACAAATTGTCAAGGGCAAAGCAAAACATCAGCAAACTTAAAAGGTAACAGATTATACAGACGCGACATCTGCTGTCGGTCTCTTTGATCTTCGTGTCCCCAACTGCTTACCACATTTCCCGCTTTTGTTCAATAGCGCCCGAACGCTTTTTTCCCAGGGGGTTGATACGCGTTATTAGCAAGACGTCACGAATATCATATGTCATACAACATAAAGGATTTTTTCGGGAGTCCACGGTGAAGCACAGTGCACCACCGGGAACCGAAACTCAAATTTTCGCGAAGAACGGGAATAGGGGAAGACGGATGTGACGTCGTCTGAATGTCAAAAAATCACGTGGTGCGGGTACCCGCCTAACGTCTGTGAGGTACTAGCGGGTGACAGGTCTTATGTCAATGGCATTTAAAAACAGGCATCTCAATTGAAAATTTGTCTTTGCAGTGCTGAAAATTGAGTTAAATTATTAAATCATAAATGGAGGAACACGTCCACCTGATTTTAAATGACGAGAGAGAAGGTCATCGAAAATATATGAACCGCACTTTTCATATCAAATGATTGATTTCATTGATATATAAGTACATTTCACAAAAAACGATCGGTCTTGTTATTTCAGATTCAAACAAGACACATGAATTTGGCGAGATTATAATCGTTATTTCTTGAAAAGCCATTTATATATTGATATATATATATATATATATATATATATATATATATATAGTATTGATAAAACTCAATGTTTTTCCTGGGCCCTAAATCCTAAATGTCATAGCAACACGAATCCCACCAAATGCGTAGGACTCAAGTTGGCGTTGATAGAACCTGATTTTTGACAGAGTGTCGCCTCTGTATAATACTCTGCGCTTAGATGCTTATCGTCGCGTTCCCGTGAACACTGGCTAGACCAGTTCGGTACGGGTATCATGTAAAAAACCTATAAAACGTCCCAAAAAACCTATAAGATGTCAACTTGCAGACTAGGTAGTTTTTAGGGCGTAAACAGTCATTCCACTTTTGCTCACTAGGATCGTTGTGAACGTCCATCTATGGAGGAATCACTCAACTAAACTACGCATTATTGGTTGCATAGTTTTGTGAAGCTGAGTGATCCCGGTCTGTACTGTATGTAGTTTTTATCTCTGAGAAGAAAGTTGGTTGAATAGCAAGATCGCATCTGGATGATTATGTGTATTGGTCTGCTTGTGTATAAAATCAGTGATATTTGCTGTGTGAGAAAATCATTTCTGAATATGCCGAATAGGACGGGTTATTTATATGTTGTGCTTTCTGAAGAGAGTTTATGTTCAAAGTTATAAATTACGAAAAACTGAGGAGAATTACGGGAAATCATCACCGCGCCGGCGTTGTGTATAATTACTGTTAGCATGTATATGGCTTGTAATTCGACAGTGTACAGTGAATATAATTATTTCTTATCTCTCCCATTTTTGAAATTCAGCAAATTTGTATATGTAATTTCCAGAATGGATAAGAAAAAGTGGATGCGCAACTAATTTCTAGCTTTGAATCTCAATTAAGTGTATTTGATAGAAGAGCCCAATGTAATTATCATCAACACATACAACTTACAGCTTAGACCTCCAGTAGTGCCATCTCAGAAGCAGATTTTACATCACATCATAGCCAAAGATTGATAACAAGCCTCATGACGTTTAGGAAACACGTACAACTAAGTGCTAAGTTAGCATCTTATAGAATAACCTACATAATGTCAAAAAAACAGCATAATGTCACTTTTCAAGATACGTGATACCCGCGCCGGAGCGCCACACTCCGGGCACATAGTACTACCAGAGACGACACTGTCAAAAATCAGGTAGTATCAACGCCAGCTTGAGATCTATGCGTTTGGTGGGATTCCTGTTGCGACATTTAGGTGTTATCCGTGGAATGTTTTGACACGTGACCACCAAACAGTTTTATCAATACAAATCAATTATCTGGCCTATATCTATTTGAGGAAATAAACACACTTCTTCATTCTGTAGTTTGATATCTGACGTTCGTGACGTCAGGTTAATAACACAACACAACTCCTAGGAAAAAATCCTCCGGGCGCTAATGGACATAAGCGGGAAATATGGTAAGCAGTTGGGCACGCGAACATCAAAGGGACCGACAGCAGGTGTCGCATCTGTATAATCTGTGATTCTGTGCTCCGGGTGTATACAACTCTCAATTCAAAAGCACTGGAAACGAAAGCAGCTCAGGTGTGCCCATGTGCAAAGACCATCTTGATGAAAGTTGTGCCGTTGTTTAGATCTAGTTCACGCTGCTTCTGTGATTGATGCGAGTGGTGTTTGACAAGATTCGATTTGACAGATATTTAACCTTCAAATAAATTTAAAAAAATTTTGAACGTGGGCCCCTTTTTATTGCACCTTATTCAAAATTCCACTTTGCAATGGCTTTGTGGAATATAAAGGATCTTGCGCTACCTCCAATAGCTACTTATAAAGCAAACACGAAAGACATTGGTAAGTGATTTCAACCAGAATTAAGCATTTTCATTGATTTTTCAATTTTCAGACATCGTGTACTTGCGGCAGGTGTGCAGAGATTCAAGGCAGTTCTTTGAAGATAAAAAAATCATGCACGCTGAATACCTGATACTATCAAGAATAGTTTATCGTATGAAACAAAAATTTCGCTCTGCAAAAGATTTCAAAGCAGTGGTGAAGATGTACAAGACTCTGGATAACTACTTCAAAATAAACATAGCTGAATACATCAATACATTCATGGAGCTTATTCCTTATAATTATGAAGATGATTCAACATATCTCCCAACAAAAAATTTGGTTGACTACATATTAGTCAGACACCAAGGCATAGTAAAACTACTAGTTCGGATTGTAGAAACATCAAAACTTGCAGCACATTTATTAGAAGAAAGAATACATATTGGTCACTCATGGCAGGGTGCTTTTATATTATTTGCGATAGCTTCAAGAGTATATGTTTTAAGCAAATTTATAATTCAAAAGGCTTGTGATTTTTATCAAAAACTACTCCCGTTCTCAAGTAAATTGAAAAATTTGGGTACTGATTGGTTGAAAAGTGACTATAAGCTACCAAAAGACCTTAGACAATGGTTAAATGTTGACTGGTTAGATATTGATGATGAGGTGAAAATACTTGAGGAACCTGAAATCCCAAGAATCACAGATTTCTTTGATCTTGTTGATGATGAGGATGTACAATTTTGTGATGAATACATTGTCCTTGATGACTCTTTGCTTAATAGAAAAGGTAATAAAAATAATACTATGTTAGAATATGGCATCAAGTCATTGAGAGGATTTGATTTAGAAGATGAAGGTGAAATAATTGAAATAGATAGCATGAGACAGAATACCTCCTCTAATTGTGAGAGTTTTGGAAAATTATTGGAAAAAGACTTAAAATTATTAGTAAACGATATGACGGTAATTCCTGCCAAAGGCACAGTTTGTTCAAGCAATGATGTGTTAGATGAATCTACAAAACATATAGAGGATAACGATGATTTAACTCTCACATTTGGAGATATCTCAGCTATCCCAAATCCAAATGATACTACACTTACTAGAGAAAATGTAGATAAACTACATTCTACTGCTATACACCCAGATGAACTGACAGTTCAAAATATTAATGATAATGCCTCATTTATCCCTCATTCAGAGAGTCAATGTTCTTTAAACAAAAAAAGTGATACCAATATACCATCAAATTCAAGAACGGTAGATAATTCAGTGGAGATAATAGAAAAAGATGTGACAGTCATTTCAATCCATGATACAACACAAGATAAAGCATCATATAATCCTGAAGTAGATGTTTGCTCGTCCATATCATGTAAAAATAAGAAAAATGTTGAGAATGTCCTACCATCTATATCAAACAATACAAGGAGATCCTCACAGACCTTAAAGAAGAAGAAACAAAGAAAAATATTAGATACTCCAAAGTATAATGAAAATATCTTACCGTCAACCTCAAAAACAGGTATCAAAACAGATTGTAATAGTAAACCACAGAAGCTAAGCAACAGCACCAAATCTGTAACAAAAACTCATAAGGCAAGTGATGTTTCAGATTTTGATGTAACGTTACCAACAGGCTTTGTTACAAGTGATGTTTCAGATTTTAATGTAACTTTACCAGCAGGCTTTGTTGTCTTATCATCAGATTCTGAGGACTTAGATAGTACTATTGTAGAGAGCTGTGTTTCAATGCAGAAGGGACCAGAAAAGTCAAGGTTTCAATCACATTATATCAGTGATGATAGTAATGATGAAGATTTGCAGGACAGTTGGTTTTTTGACTATAATAGAAGTGAAATAGCGATAACAAAATATAATCACATGAATAGAAATTTTATTGGTGAACCCAGGTTTCCTTCAGGACACACACCAGGTAAAAATAAGAGGCATAAAAAGAAAAGAAGTGTTAGTAATAGTGATTTTACTGCAAATCCACCAAAAAGAGCAAGATTGGAGAGAGATCAAAAACCAGATATAACAAATAGAAATTTAATTGAACACATTGAGCCAAATGTTAAGGGAAAAAACAGAAAAGGCAGAGGCAAGGGGAAGTCAAAAAGATATTACAATATGAAGATTGCTGAATGAAGTATATATATATGCGCCAATCCCGTACTTGTAATATTGCTGTATTTTGCAATATTAAACTGTTCTACTGTACTTTGTTGTTGTTAATGATATTACTCATCATACAATAATGTTATATGCACATAGCCAATAGATTTAAGAAAAAATACTGGTGGCTCAATATCAATTCTTATCAATTTTCATCCATACATGGTTATCACTGCCATATTTATTTCAAAGTGCTTTCGTGGGGACAACGAGAAGCTATTGCAAGCGTGTTACAGTGCACGTGGTGTAAACAAATTTAAGACGAAACATGGAGTTGTCTCGAGAGAGTTATCGCGCTATGATTTACTATGAGTTTAATGTCGGTTTAACTGAACATCAATGTATGGAACGGTTACAAAAGGCATTTGGTAATGCAACTCCGTCGCCAGGCAAGTGCGTTTCGCTGGTATGCCGAATTTAAAAGAGGGCATGTTTCATTGGCTGATGAAGAACGTAGTGGTAGGCCAAGTTCAAGTGTGACTATGAAAACATTGCATTCCAAGTTCAGCGGCTAATTGAAGAAGATTCTCGCTGCATATATGCGACTATAGAGGCAACTCTTGGGGTAGGTTCCGCAACAGTGCACACCATTTTGAATGATCATCTTCATTTAAAAAAAGTTGTTGCGTGCAATCCGGCATCACGACAATGCCTATAGCCACACTGCCCAACTAACCGTAGACTTTTTACGCCAGCGCCGCATCAAAATGCTAGAGCATCCGCCTTATTCGCCAGATTTGGCAATGTGTGACTTCTGGCTCTTCAACAATTGGAAAAAAAATCTGCGTGGTCGTAATTTTCGTTGTTGAAGGCATTCCAAAAACTGACTGGTTAGAAGCAATTCATTTGTGGAAGGTTAGGCAACAGAAGTGCACTAATGCTGTAGGAGAATACTTTGACCATAAATAAACTAGTTTACGAAAAACAGTTTTTAGTTTTCGTGTATCTCAAAATATATAGCGTGGCCCTCGTATTTATAATAATTTGTATTGGATAATGAATGATAGAGATTTTGTTTGCATGAGGAACTCTGGATTAGTTCATCTGGATTTCAGTTCGGAATTTCCTTGTGGCACTTTCCAAAGTTTATGTACTAAATATTATTTTTCTCTTGTTTTATTGCAGTCTGATGTGAGAGTTGCAATTACAATGGTAAATTAAAAGCATAGCTGAGAAAAAATTCACTCATGCAATGATAAAGTATCAAAAACTTTTGGATAGTCCATAACTTTATTAGTTTTTGTGTGTGCCAAAATGAGAAAATCACAATGTATTTTATTGAATTCTATGTTCAATCTTCTTCTCTATCATTTGAGCTGTTTCAAAAGCCTGCTAATAATTTCATTAAAAGCAATTTGAGATACAAGTGAAGGTATTTGTCATTAAAAAATTCCAAAATCAGATTCACTTAATTTTTGTGATGTCCTCTAAGTTTGGTTTGCCCCTGAAAGGTTATTTCACAAAAATTTGTTTGTTTCATACTTTTTATGCAGATAGGTAGTATGTAATAGAATGTACATATAATACAGGAAAGCATTGTTTCTTTTGAGCAAATTTTGGTGTGCACTTTTACTGCTTATTTGTTATACATGATACTAAATGGTCAATAAACATCTTTTAGTCAAAATTCACAACTATAAGCATTTGTCTATTGCTAAACTAATACCATGAAATAAAGGATGTGAGTTTAGTTTTATGTCACTGAATTTATTATGAAGAAACTTGATAATAAATAGCTATTTCATCAAGTTACAATTGAACCTAGCAATAATGGGGAGAGTAAAGATAGGTCATTATAATATCTATTAACATTATTTATATCTTTCCTGTTGAATTATGACTAGGATGTTGAAATAATACACCCAAGTACCACTGACAATCAATAAAAGAGGTCTTTATTATGTGCCAGATATGAATCATCCAACATTATCAAATATTCACCGAATAGTACATTTATTAAATTTTAAGTATGAAGATTGACAATCAGTACAATAACATCGTTTTGTTTTTTGCTGTTAATAGCCTTGTTTTGAAGATGTCATGGAATGTGATGCAATTTTACCATGAAATAAGGTTTAAATGACAGCCTTCAGGAAAAAAGTTTTGTCTTGACATCTTATCACCAATTATCTTTAAATCTTGAAATAAAAAGTCCCTTGTCATACCAAATTTTGGGACATACGAGATAAATGAAGTTTCTAAACATTAAAACAAAAAAAAGTTATAATATCAGCACTTGTCTGCTATGTTCATTATATCATGTTTGTTCTCTAACTTGATCACTAACAGCTGCATTAACCATAGCTGCTAAATCATCTGTTCTACTTCTTTCTTTCAATCTATCTCTGATCAATTCTGCTATCGCTCTTTGAGTTTGTCTCTCCAGCCTGGCTAACTTTCTGGCCACATCCCTTTTCAAGTCCCAATCTGGTTTTCTTGGTGCCAAAGCAGTTACATCTAGTTGATCTATTACTACACTTGACTTAGCTGCTTCAAGGTGGTCTTTAATCTAGAAAGTAATGGTTATTAAGGATGCCTCAATACCAATTTTGTTAAGATTTCATTTTCCACTATCATGTGTGTCAAGTCCAAAGTCTTGTGGAAGAAGCTATATGACAGAATTTTATTGTAGTTGGGTTTCAGCTGTAACAACATTTAGGAACAAAATTTGGATTTGAACAATCACCTCTGCTGTGACGTCCCCAGGTATACTAGGTTCTTTGGTGAAGTCATTCAGTTCTTCATTAGCAGGTCTATAGCTCCTAAAAATAGGTTTTGGCAACTCCATACAGGAGTTGTCTTCAGACTTTTCTTTTCCATCACTTATGTCTCCTTCACGTTTGCGTTTTAACGCTTTTAGTCGCTCTCTCCGTTTTAGAGCTTCATCTTCTAAATGACCAATATTTTGTTCACCTGCCATCATATATTACCATCTAATAAATCTGATTTCCAATTTACCTCACGCAAGTGAACATTTATATTTATTGTTATTTTTAAATTTTGACATAACATAACCTTACTTCCTGCTTATAGCGACACCTGTTGCGTAAAAGTTTATAATATGCTTATCGGCAGATTTCTATCATCGCACCATCCATTGAACAGTAAAGATGGATTATCGGATTATAAGTAAGACAAGACTTGGCTCCGGCTTCAAACTGCGGTTCGATGCACAAAACGTTCGATGAAGGTAGAAGGATGAAACTATTACATCGTCTATAGTCCCGATATAATTTTAGATGTGGTCTGTGGTCTACGTAGAAATGGGGTATACAGCGCCATCTATCAGGTAATGTTCATATCACAGAAAATCTCCTGACACCGACGGAGGAAATGACAGATAACGTAGCAACGAATACCTAGTTTGTGGATGACAAATATTGTAGCAGAAGTTAGTATGACAGTATATGTTTTGCGGTATGACAGTTCTTTAAGTTCGTGATGAGTTCGTGCTTCAAGGCAGGGAGGTGTAACATGGGCGAAGTGGCAACATCAGGGTCATCCTCTCCAGGCAAAATCGAGGAAACTGCATTACCGGCATCACGTGACGTACTGCTTGCCGGTATTTTTTTTTGAAAACAATATATTACAAAAATAGAGTATTACAAAATATAATAACATTCAATTCTCTAAACAGTGCTTCAAAAACACTGGCATCGAGAATAACAACATTCTAAATGTGCTTATTACTAATTACAATATTTGACTACAAATACAATGTGTTATTTGCTGCGAATATGATCTTTTAATTTCTTTACAAAACAGTTAAAGCTATTGTTACTGCTTTTTATGCTATTTGGCAATTTATTGTATGCATTTGATGCTTGCGATATGGGATTATTCAAACCTATTTCAGTACTAACATCATACATGTAGATATACATACAACATGTGTGTGTGTTCTAGTATTATATTTGTGTATGTCATTTGAAAATTGAATCTCAGTATTGCACTTTAAGGCTTTAGTAATTTCTTTATGAATAAATTTACATCGTTCTAGCTCAAGAAGCTGATTTAAGTTAAAGATGTTCAATTCCTTGTACAGCTCAGGTGTATGTGTAAACCAATCCAGATTGAATAAAACCTTCAATGCCTGATTTCGAACCCTTTGTACTTTATTATAATTTACCTTCCCTCAAGTACCCCATACAGGAAGAAGGTACATAAGACATGATAAAAAATAAGCATTGTAAATATCATATTTAACTTTAATTGTAAAAAATGATCTATTTTTTTATAGGGCACCAATCATTGAAGTGATTTTTTTATTACATTGTGAACATGTTCATTCGAAATTAAATTCTCGTCGACCATTAACCCTAAATATTTTATACAGGTAGTCAGTGCTAAAAGGGCAAAAGGGCATAAACTTTGTTTTATCTACATTCATCTTCAACTTATTATATAACAGCAATTTATAGTACACATCTAAATCATTATTCATCACAGTTTCCAAGCTTACTTTACTATCTCCTGAATATAACAATACAGTATCATCTGCAAAGGTAAAATAGTCACAATTAAGATTAGCACAACGCCACAACGCAGACTTAAAACATAAAGGGAATATAAAAGAGGTCCCAAGACAGACCCTTGGGGTCCACCATAAGGATTTGGCAGATACTGACTGTTGTTATTACCTATTTTGACATATTGCTTTCTATCGACTAGATATGATTCCAATAGATTATATAATGCTCCTCTATATCCCATACCTCTAACCTTTTGTAGCAAAATAACAAAACTTACTACATAAAATGCCTAAGGTCTAGAAATACTGCAATTACAATTTTCCTATTATCTAATGCCGTTGCTATTTTATTTACAAGATCTATGTATATCTTTATCTAAATATAAATATACCAAATACGGCGTTTGTTTTGGTTAATATCCAGATTATCGAAAAATTATAAAAATGACTAGCTTATTTTCAAAGAATTATGAATTACATTAGCGTTTTCTTTATTGTTTCATAATTATCAAGAAGCAATTCAATGAAGTGAGACAGATGTGTTTTACAACACCACACAAAATGAACTTGGAAAAATCCTATCTATATTTCCGTGCAATACAATTTGTATACCATGGTCATCAGCATATGAGTATTTTTTGACACTATAAATATATTTTGTGCTTCATAATTAGTGTTGGATTTCATTATTGTGAATCTTGTTTTCAGCAAAACTGCTTAAACCACTTATTGGAGATATTTTATGTATATACGTTCATGAAATAATTCTTCAAATATCATTTTCAGCAGATTTCAAATTATAGACAAACGAAATCTCCGGCACATTCCTGACATTCCTTATTTCAGGCGCATTCTCGGCATTCTTTGGATAGTTCCTCCAGATCTCCAAACAAGTATATGGCACAACCATCTGACAAACGTCAACGGTGATGCCATCGTTTAACGCGCAGCTCCCGCTTCTTCAGCCTTGTGTGTTTTGTGCTTCAAGGTGTTGAAAAACCTCTGGAAAACCCGAAAGACAACAATTACATAATTTAATGAATAAGTTTTTAAACAATTTTTCCAGTGTTCCCTGTTGAAATCATGTCAAGGAGGAGTTGACTATGTTGTTTTTGTACAAAAACTTGCTTTTTTGCAAGTCTAATCATAAGGAAGTAAGTTACGTCATAATAATTTAGAGGTTATTATGCTTTCTATCCCATGTATTTTTGTAGATAATCAAGAGAATTGCTTCCACTAGACCACCAGAGGCAGTCTTTATTGAAAAAGCTCTTGAAGTACCTGTGATAGTGATCAATGAACAGGATGATGTGGACTTGATTGGGGCTCCAGATCCTGTATCAAACTTGAGGCCAATACTAAGGAAAATACATTTACATGAAACCCCTCTACAACAGAAACTGAGAGAAATGCAGGATGCGACGCAGTCATGGAATCAAGGTTTTTGGGCTAAACATAATACCAAATTCATGAAGGTATAGTCTTTTTCATGAGTATCCATTATGGTAGATTGACAGCTGATTATCTAGCATTTCAAAATTACCCATATTGGCAAAGGACACATAATTCTGACGAATCCGTCAATGCTAGGTAGAGAGTGCCATATTTATTTTGTGTTTTTGTAGGCTAGATATTTATTTTGTACTTGGTAAAAGCTCTTTTATTTAGAAAATATTAGTTGTGTACAAAAAACACAATGCTATAAACAAGTTTTACTAGGTTCACACCAGTTTCATTATTGCTATCATTGCAGACTAACACAAAGATGTCACTTGTTGAACAGTTGTTCACCCCAGTAGATGTCAAAGCATGATGGATACTCTTGAGGGTATAGGTACATAGACAGTATTTATAAGCTTATCTCAATCTGGGGATGAAAAGGGTTACCACATTCATTTTGGTTAATCTATCTAATTTAAGCCAGCATCTTATAAGAATTTATAGTATTTTTAAAAATAACAAGATCATAGTTTGAGAATATCCTGTATATAACTATAAGTAAATATTGGTGGTACGCCTTTCTACCTGTAAATATTGTCTATCTGTGTTTATTGACGCACAATATAGTGTTTTAGTCATTTAGATATTTTGCTGGCACTCTGTCAAATATAAACTTGCTGGAAGAATTCAATGCTTATGATTCAATTGATTATTGTAGGAAAAACAAGAATTTATAAATTCCCATCAAATTCCCAGTGAAGAAAAGAAACATTTAACAGCTGATGAAATGAGTGAATTTTACAAAAGGTTTCTTGATGATACTTGGGAAACACACTTGAAATATAACATTGAGTGGTATAGGAGAAATTTTACTCTGTTGTTCTTAGCTTTATGTGTTAGCTTAGAGAGGAATTATTCTGCATATTTGCCCAAGTAGACATGACAGAGGTGATTATTTAATTTTAAGAAAATTCTGATTTGTAATATTATTATACTCTTGTGTATCAATATTATGTTCATTATATATCTTTCCTTAGTGGAATTTAAGTCATTTTTCTTTCTAATCTTCAATTCTGTATGGATCATTTCCAGAATGCTGATGTATATTTATTGATTGCTTTATCCTCAATGGAATCAGCTAATTAACATATTTCTATTTCAGAATGTATAGTATTGACAGACTGAGACAAACTGCAGCTACTGAATGTTGTTCAGAATGGGATTGTTTCTGTACTGTTTGTTATATTTATTTGAAAAAATGTTTTCATTAAACAAAAATAGTTTTATTTGTGTAACTTGCCTGTATTAATACTAGTGGTACTGGAACAATATGTAAGGCCAAAAATATCAAGAATATCAACCAGATACTGTGTCCCAGGATAATACAACATTAGCTGAGTCACAAAATATTGTGAATCTACAAAAACATGTCTGATAAAAAAGAAATTGTGGGCTCATCACTTGTCTTTCCAGTTCATCTATGCAAATCTTACTAGACAATATCATGGAACATGAAATTTATATTAACTACAAAAAAATTTAAAAATAAAATTATATCAGGTTATAATAATGTTCCTTCATTCAAGGATATTGTATAATTTAGCAATAACTCTTAATTTTCCTGATAAATGGAAGTTGACCAAATTCATTCCTTTTTTTGAGTCAGGTAATAAATCAGTAGTCTCAAATTTTCATGGTATATTTTTCTTATAAAACTTTTCAAAGCTTCTTGAAATTGTGTTGTGTAATTTTATAGGTATTTTCTGTTATCCATAGTAGTGTATATCCTATTTCACAAGTATCCATCATGCTTTGACATCTACTGAGGTGAAAAACTGATCAGCAAGTGAGCTTTTAGTGTTAGTCTGTGACATTGGCAATAATGAACAGGTGTAAATTTAGTAAAATTTGTTTGTAGCGATTTGTTTTTTGTATGCTAATAAACAAAAGAGCTTTTAGATAGTGCAAAATGAATCAGTAGCTGACAAAAAACCAAAACAAAATGCGGCTCTGACTACCTGACGTTGATGGATCCATCAGAATTATGTGTCCTGTGCTGATATGGGAAATTTTGAGATATTACTAGATAATCAGCTGGCATTCGACCGTAATGGATACTCGTGAAATAGGATATAGTAGGTACCAACTCGACATGGTTTTGTGAGTGAACATCTAACTAAATCTAATCTGGTACCTACTTTTAGAAAACAAGTTTCTGAAACTATAGATCTGGGTGGGTATATTTTTCTAAAGCATGTAAATTATGATGTCCTTAACAAAGTTGACAGTTTCGGCTTCTCAACAGACTTCATTTCTTTCTGAAAATCATATTTATCCAATAGACCACAGTATGTATTTTCTAATGACCACAGTTTCAACACGTACAAAGTAAGCTTAAGCATCTACAAGGGTCAAATTTGGATCCACTTCTGTTTAACCTATTCATAAATGAACTGGATGGTGTAATTGCAAACATCTGACACATGATCGCATTTTACGGGGGGTCTTCTATCTAACATTTTTTCCTCGAGGGCTTCAATAGAAAGATACGTGGTGTTGAATTTTAAAAATTAAAAACATTTTTCTTATATCTTCAAAACCGTCAACTGGAATGTGGATTTACCGAAGTATTGTCCATATTCAAATGACTTAAAATCAACGTGCACCAGTGGCGGAGGTACAGGGGATTAATACGCCACTGTTTTTTTTCGAATCACGCATTTTTTTGAATTTTACCTTCAATTTGCTGCAAATAATTACTCTTGTTTTTTTTCGTAGAGTGCACTGTTTTCGTAAAAATAAAACAAATTAGATCATTCATGAAGAGCCGAGATACAATTAGTTTCAAGATAAAATAGGATACCTTGATACCAACTTGACGTTTCTTGGAGGTAGTTTATCAAAGTTATGTGTGATACGGTTGTTATCGTTACTACTATCATTTTTTTTTCTAAAAGTCAAGTCAAAAGTTTCTTTTTTTCATTTTTGAGTTTTGTCAAATTGAATTTAGCAATGATGAGTACGCCATTATTTTGTGTACGGGTTCCGTAATGAAAATGCTTTAGCGGCTTCTCGGGAGTATCAACTTAGATTTACTAACAGACGCCAACCTGCCCCAAAGGCTTTTACGCGTTTATTTATAAGACTGCAGTATGGAATTGCCAAACTTCCCGAAGTTAGAGGCCATGATGCCGGCATACTGTTCAAGAAGAATTTAATTCTCATTTTCTCATAATGAACATATTTGGTCGTTAGAAAATCCCCGTTCTGTAAGAATCCACTCGTTTCAACACAGATCTTGTAGAAATGTCTGGTGTGGCATTTTCAATTGTCAACTGTTTATGGACGTATTGCCACAACGTTTAAATGGAAGCTTATACTTCACTTTGCTGGGGTGACCAAAGCGGTAATTATTCATTTGTTGTTTGATTTACTGGACAAGATGGAATGGATTAGATAGAACCAGATAATATAGGATGTTTCAGAAGCTACATTGAAATAAATATAACCTTAACTATAAATACTTTTATTTATATGAATTGTGTCCATTTATTCAAATTACAAGAAGTATGTCCTTGGCTTGCGCACAGAGAAGCGGTTCATGCTCTTGTGTTGAATACGTTTTGGCAATGGGAAACGTATCTTGGAATCATGGAACTGCTTCACTTGTGGCCTCCTGGTATCTGCTGCTTTCACCTGTTCCACTTTGATTACCTGAAGAAGAAATAATGATCCTTAATAATAATATTGTCTCGGCCAAGTATTCAAGCAATATTTGGAAATATATAAAAAAAGTCTAAAGTATTTACTATAAACTATAATAATGAATTTTACTTGATAATGTATTAAATGCTTCTAAAATTTCGTGTTAACATAAAATATATTCAAAGATTAAGTGCTATCAAAATTTCTGTGTTACTGGGTGTTTAAAATATTTTATCACAAAGTTATTACTACAGGAGACTGGTTATTATACACAATTTCATGTTTCACTGATGGACAGTTTTTTTTTATCAAAGCATGCAAGAACCAATAATAAAATCAAATAATGTAGAATTAAAAATAAGGTGTTACAAATTATTGTACTAAAGCAATCATTAAGAACAATGTCAGGTACTAATACCAGGTAACTGATTACTGAATCAACCAGCTCCAACGATGCGGTGTACCTATTTTATCTTGCACCGATTCGACCTACCAGCACATTACATGTGGTGGTAGGAGATACCATAGTGCTTTTCATTTTACATACATATTCTAGTACATTTTTTAATTGAATTTAAATTTATTATTATTTAAACAAAAACCACCTTTGTATCCCACTAAATTTAAGACACCTACCAGGGTGTAAAGACCAGCTGAGAGTCAGAGATAAAGAAATCTGCTTAGTTTTCTTGAGAATTTAGTTTATTTAACGCTTTTACATATAACTATGTTGTACGGTCAATATAACCTAATAATGGCATGAATTTTTCCAGTTGAAGAAATGCCAATCATTATTTTTGTCTTATGCAGTACTTGTAACTTATTCAACTAAATTATTTTATGTTCAATCTGGTAGGCTAAAACCTCACTAATTCTCTAGCTTCGCTATAACAGCCTTTTACGTTTCTCCATCCGAATAGACTGGGACTAATCCTATACATACTGTGACACTGCCATATTGAGGAAATACAAAAAAAATTAACGAAAATACACATTAACATGCATTGTGCAGCTTTCATTTTTCTGTAGAATGTCTTCCCCATTGAGTCATGGCGTGCGTCACTAATGTGATATTATGTAGGGCTGAGGAGCTCGAAGTCATATGCACAAATTTAATTATTAAAAATATCCATCAACAGAAAAACCTATGAAGTGATGACATCTGATAACAGCACACGCCCTACGAAAACAAACATTTAATACCCATTATATATAAAATATTTTAAAACTTCCATAGTTACACTCATTTTCAGTCCCATTTCTTTCTTCTACACCCAAAACTAGTGTTTATAATCAATAGCTGGTGTAGCTAAGCTAGAGAATTAGCAAAATCTCTAATTCATACCTGAATAGAATGAGCCCTAGCACGATGACGGGCCCCCATGTCTCTATAACATCTAGTGACAGCTCCAGACACACTGAGATCCCTATACTCTCTGTACATGTTGTGTGTGCCAGATCGAGAATCGTACCTCAGCCATATACCAAAGTTCTTGATTTTCATTGGGGATTTTTCTGGTATTGGCTTCAAGGAGACAATCTCGCCAGTGGACTTCTTGAACTTCTTCAATTGCCGCAAAAAGTACCAGAACCGCGACTTAGCTACGATCGGATCTGGGGCGAAGATTCGCATTTTGTACAGCGGAGGGTTTGTTTCTTTGTCAGAAGGCAACTTGCGGCCGATGACTTCATATTCTTTAAGCTACCAAAAAAAGTTAGGTTAGAATTGGACTTGATATTTGATGTTTTACTGTTAGATTCGATACGAAATGCAGGAAAGGTGAGAGAACATGCAATAATTTCCCGTACATGGTTATTTTGAGCAGAAAACTAAGAAAAATATTTGCAACTTTAGTGTAATGCACGTGGACATCAACCTCTAAATACCAGCGCAACAGATTGAAAACCGAGTTTCCGACGATAGAAAATGATATATAAGTATTATCTGCACACTTGTAAGTTCAAAAATAGTGCGAATTCTCTTTAAAAGATTGTTTTTTGCATACTAACCTCTCCTTTCGCCTTCATGGCTGCTGTTTTTTCATGAAAAGAAAACGGGGATTCGGCGTGCCTGACGCATTGATATTTTTGACAGAATGACGGGCTGACTGACTAATAAGTTGACAAGTACTATACGCCGAAAATGAGGCGCGGTTTATGAGAAGACAGTTATCACGTGACTGCTATTAGCTTTGCTGATTGACCAGTTAGTCAATTGCAATGTTGCCAATATATTATATCAACTCAATGGTATCAACCGAGATATACAGGGTTACAGGAAAAGTCGTGCTAGATCCGTTAAGGGCGTGTAGTACCCATCATTTCTGACTTATTTCATTATGAAACACCCTACCCGCAACGAATACAGAACTCGCTTCCCCGGTCGTCGAGTGCCGGATGTGGCCGTTTTTAACAGAGTTTATCTAAGACTTCGAGAAACTGGCTCTGTTTTGAGACGAAATACAGACCTGGGAAGACCACGAATTTATGACAACGAAGAACTGCAGGACAATGAGATAGTGCAACGCTTTCGAGCGGATCCGACCATTTCCACTAATCGTGTTGCCCGTGATCTGGGACTTTCGCAATGGAGAGTGTGGTTTACAGTGCATACTGCTGGCCTATACCCGTACCATTACACGCCGGTACACACTATTGAAGAAGGAGACCCCGCGAGAAGGTTGGACTTCAGCAGATTTATGCTAAATGCTGACGTAGAAGACCCAGATTTTCTAAGAAATATCTTATGGACAGATGAATCCAAATTTGATAACGATGGCATAACTAACTATCACAACGCCCATTACTGGGCCCCAAAAGTACTAAGGAATCCCAATAAGAAAAGAGTGGCGAGGTCCCAACGAAGATTCAGCGTGAATGTGTGGATGGGCATTATCTCCAACCATTTGATTGGACCTTACTTTCTCCCGGACAATCTAAATGGGGAAAATTACGAAAACTTCTTGAGACGAGACTTCAGAGATTTGCTGGATGATCTGCCACTCAACTTGAGAAAGGACATGTGGTTCCAACATGATGGCTGCCCTGCCCATTTCAGGAGAAGTGTCAGAGACTGGCTGGACACAAATTATCCAAACAAATGGATAGGACGAGGTGGGCCGTTGCCATGGCCAGCAAGAAGTCCGGACCTAACCCCCATGGATTTTCATGTGTGGGGGTGCATGAAAAGTCTTGTCTACAGCGAGCCAAATCCAGTTTCGTCTGTGGAAGAATTAAGAGAAAGGATTGTCGATGCAGCAAATCAACTAAGGACAACGTTGACCACTGCAGTTGTAAAGACTGGTCTCCGTAGAAGGATGCGACAATGTATTAGAAACAGAGGCAGCCATGTTGAACATGAACTGTAGAGTAAGAAAAAGTTGTGTGAAAACCTGATTTAATAAATGATATTTCATGCTTACCTATTGTTTTATTTTACTTTTTAGGGCTAAGTATCAATTTTCTTCTCCACTGTCGCCTATGAAACTAAGTTTTTTCAATGCATTTAAATAAAATCCTAGATTGTTATACCTCGTTAGATAGCTGATAAAACATAGATATTTTAAAACACATCTGCCGAACAATTGCCATAATATTTTTTTTAGATATCCCTTCGAGAAAAATAAACTTTCTGATATTTTTTTCAATTTCTTAACATTCACTTATCTACTACGGCCTATTCAATTAACTTATGGACTATTTTAATGATTGACGTCCTAAAGCATCTTATTACACATGTTAAAATGCAATAATAGTAATAATAACACACACAAAATAAAAATAAATACATTTAGTAGCCTAAAAATCGGCAATTTTCAATAAAAACATTAAAAGTTGAATATCTCGAAAAGGGTTAAGTTTAGGGTAGGGTGTTTCATAATGAAATAAGTCAGAAATGATGGGTACTACACGCCCTTAACGGATCTAGCACGACTTTTCCTGTAACCCTGTATATTTTGTATTCATGTACCATAAATAATGCTCTTCCAATTTGTTTAAAGCCCTGATCCAATTTTTAAGTTTGTTTGATGTAGACTGTGTTGCTGAACAAAAAAGACGAAATTCGTATAGTGTCGTTGAAATTTCGTAAAATCAAGGAAAATGAGAAAGGCAAATTTTTCTTTTGCGCGCACACACAACACGAGTACCCAGGTTTTCCTTGAACATATAATAACAAATGGGAAAAATGTCATTTTATTATTGCGTACGGGTCACAGGTTATCAGAATTTCTATATATAGAAAACAAATTAAAATTAACCTTAAAAAATAACTTGGTATATTTTTACAAAAAAAATAAACTATGACGACCACCATTAGCTATCATACATATGTACGTATAACTCGCACAACTTAAAAAAAAACATTATAAGAGTTGTGGTTCACGATTCGGCCAGTTCCTTTCTTTTTGATTGTATCACCGGGATAAAATCGATGAAAAGAACTCACTATACTCACTTACCAAAGAAGAAAAAGGCCTAACCTACCGTACCCTACTGATTTAACACTGGCGTACGATGTGTTTTGGTACTCTTTCCCATTTCGCCCCCAAAAAATGAACAAAAAGATTTTTTCCAAAAATAGTGGACCTAAAAAATAATTTACATAAAGAATCGAGCTGACTGGATTTGGCACCAAACTCTTTTATTGAAATAACAAATAACACAACATTGAATCGTCCTTGACATCATACCAATGTTGTTTGGATATACTAGAAATCATGCTGTTGGTAATATTGAAATTGTAATAATTTCCCTCGTTTATGTCTCCGTGATCTTGAAACTCCATCACCTGACATTTTAATTTAATATTTATCCGGCAATGGGGTAATGATGATTTACCCAAATCTACATCCCTCGTGTGCCGATTGCCTCAAGTATATTTTCAGTAAAAAATCTGGGAATATCTCAAATATCTTATAAATTGTGGAAAATGAGGAGTTTTCGGTAAATAAGTTCTCATATGTCGGTAGAAATACCGAAAAATCGGAAGGTGCGGCAACATTGCATGTAGATCATTGGCGCATCCAGAAAAAATGAGTATTGGGGGAGCTTTGATATAAAACTTCAATGCCTTATATCTCAATACGGTATAATGATGTATGTATCTACCTTATTCTGTAACGATTACATGAACGTAATGATATTAAAAAGCTTAATATATAGAATACCATTTATTTTCCAAATTTTAATGCAGTTGACATGATACACTAGAGATTTAATAAAATAACAAAATTATTATTTTCCATATTACACTACAGTTTCTGTAATATACAAGATTTTTGTAACACACTTGCAATAATTAATAATTTTTACAGTATTAGGGATCTAATTTTATTGGTCAGTTATCATAACTATTTGTTTCAATAAAATAGGTGGGTGACATAACTGGTGTGGTATATTCACAAAGTATTACATAGTCCTTTGCCTTGCCAGTAACACAGACGAAAATATATTTACCTTAAAACATATTTCCAGTGATCAACCGAATAAAAGTTCCAATTCAACATTTGAATTTGTAAAACAATCTTTTGGAATAATAAAGGGCAAATGTACTATATTTTAATTCAAACAGTTCCTATCAGAGAAATTTTGTTTTGCTACTCAATACAGATATACCTACATGAATTCTCATTTATGTCACTGACAACTATACAAAGAGAATTACCGGGCATTTTGAACAGACATGTTGATCTTTTGAAACATATAACATATAGGTCAATCTGCCAACAACACAATGCCTTGATTTTTGCAACCAGTTTTTCATTATACAATACTCGACAGGGCCGAAAAGTAATACAGCATAATTCGTCGTAGAATGATATAACATGAGCAAAACTTCACAGTTTTGCCTTACCAAACCATGCTGGATATAAAACTCAATTTTTGAGGATCACATTTTAAAACCTTGAATGTAAACACTACTAAAGGGTCTATTGTTTAATGGACTCATTTGATAGGCCATAACTGCTCCAGTAGGTACGCAAATTTTTACACCTTCAAGCTAAAATACAATGAACGTGTACAGCTATAAACTTTCCCAATAAATTCTCGAAAATACAGTCACAACAATAATTGTAAAAAATTGAGAATTGTGTATTTCACATGCTAAGTATCCTATAAACTTTCAAAATAAGAAATATCTAAGCTAAATTAATATACGACTTATATATACAAACATTTTGTTTAATACTGTTAGAATATCAGACATTTATTTTCGGAAAGATCAAGATCATATTAAGCATTTGCAACAATTTTTACTTGGCTTCAGACCAATGTATACCAATTAGTAAAACAATATATAGAGCTGTAAGCAACAACATACTTTACACATTTAACTAACAGAGGATACTACTAAATATATAACTACAATATATCACAAATTTATTTCACCTGGTAGACTATAACAATCCAATTCAGTTTTATTATGGATGAGTAAAATATGAGAATATACCTATACTACAGAAACTTAGCCCGCTATTATTTGAAGGGAGATGATCCTTTTCGAACAAGTGAGTTTTTGTTACGCAAAATCTTGATTTGAATAAGAATTTTCCATCAAGCGTGTATGGTATTTTGGTTATAGTCGAGAAGGGGCAGTTTGTATAGTCTTCGTAAAGTAAGCAGGAACTGTATTTGTATATGTTAGTAGTTGGAATAAAGTGACATACTGGCTTTTATCTTTTCTGTGATCATTATTATATATTTTATAACCCCTAAAAAAGCTGCTACCGCAGATGCAAAATAACAACCGATCAATTGCCCATGAGTAGAGAACAGAGGGTTTTGGCAATCACAAATGCTGCATACCTTAACGTTAACGTTATTTTGGCACTGTAGTGGCAGCAGCTTTCACTTGGCTGTCAGATCTGATCAGATCTGATAGCTGGTCGACCTAATGTTGCGAACTTTCAAATCTATTTAAGACATCTACCCCAATTCTTAGCATGAAACTGCTACATCGCGGGACTGCACGATGCATTTCGACGTTAACGTTTAAGTTCTTTAACAATGAGATATGATAAAGGTGACGATACAAAGCTCTTATTGGCATATAAATGCCTATGTATAAGATTATTCGAAGCACTTGCCTACCATCGATTTTAGGAGCACCGCAGAGCAGGAAAATACCGTCCTTTTCAAACTTCAATTACCCATTGAAGTCTATGTTTGACATCCGTAGTATAACTATTCTAATTTTAACTCTTCCACGCCAAAACCTATCTACCGAATTCTGTCAGTTTCAATACTATCTTACAGTTAGACCAACATTTTGTATAATTTGTCTCGTACAATTATTATCTTGTATGGTACACCTTCAGATTGAACACAAAAACAAGCATAAAAGATCTTAATTTTTATTTTTGAATCCGTGATTCATCAGTTCAAGCGCAGAAAATGAGCCTTTAAAATATATGTAGAAATATTCCTATTTAGATTTTGGCACATTAACTGACCTCAAAAAACCATGTACTTTAAGACATATGAGCTTTGCCTGTTTTTGAGTGAATCTAAATTTTAAATTACTAATAACAGACTTGATTCACAGTTTATCCCCACTCACATATCTTAAACTATAACGCTATATTTTCTTGCAGACTGATAAGTGTGTGTGATTATTGTTTTGTTTGATGACTTTCAGACACTATCGATATCACAAAACCTCTAAAAATGTAAAATACTGTTTTATACAGGGTGCGGCAGAGAGGACGGACGTTTTTGGGATGGGTAGTACTCTCTGCCTCCGTCTATGAGGTGGGGAGGGTGCCGTTTGACTCATGAGATCCTAGCATTATTTTACCAGTTGTCGTTATGGAGCCTTGGACGGTGGAGCACCGCGTTTTCGCCTATGAGTGACGAAGTCCACTTTCACCTAAACAGCATGGTTAACCAGCAGAATTGTCGTTATTGGGCTAATCCGCAACAGTTACACGAAAGACCGCTGCACAGCCCAAAAGTAACGGTTTGGTGCGCTGTATCGCAAACTTGCATAATTCGCCCTTACTTCTTCGAAGACGGTAATGGTCGTGATGTTACCGTGAACTCAGAGCGCTACGTCGACATGATCACCAACTTCTTTCTCCCTGAATTACGATGGCGACGTGTTCCAATCCGACGTGTGTGGTTCCAGCAGGATGGGGCGACCGCCCACACAGCCCGAGCATCCATGGACGTTATTCGCCCTCTCTTCCCTGGTCGCCTTATTTCCAGGTTTGGCGATGTTCATTGGCCTCCTCGGTCCCCAGATTTATCCATATGCGATTTTTTCTTATGGGGACACCTCAAGGCTAGAGTATACCCGAACAAGCCCCGAACTCTGGACGAATTGAAGGGCGAAATTCGCGTGGAAGTCGCCCAAGTTGAGAGAGAGAGCGATGTTGGAGAGAGTCTACGCGAACTTCCAAGAACGCCCCCAGTACTGCATCAACGATTTCGGCCACCACATGCCTGATGTGATTTTTGTGAACCTGATTCCATCAATAAATTTGTTTTCGAGTAAAAATTAACTATTTTATGATTTTTTTAAAACCGTCCATCCTCTCTGCCGCACCCTGTATAATCAAATGATATTGTGCATCAAATCCCTATTCAATTCTGTCAAAGGCTGTATGAAAATAACATCATCTCAATGTATTTTCTGCAGTGCACCACAGGAACACATATCGAATAAACACATTCTACACTCTAAGCTAATTCCCATGAAATTGCCTCAGCATTTTAGGAATATTTT